TTAGAACAGCCGCCGCCAATTGTTTTTATACAAGTTTTATGGTCATTCTATATAAAATAATGATGATTAGATGTCAGTTATATAAAAAAGAATACAAAACAACCAAAAAAAAAACTAATAATAATAAAAATGAAAATAAATAAATATTATATAAAAAAAAAACATTTAGGCAGTGTTTAAAGCACAAAAAAAAACAAACAAACAAACAAAAATAAATAAATAATAATTAAATAAAATTAAATTGTAGTATGAATCCGTTAATAAAATAAAAAGGAAACAAATAATTTAACAAAATAAAATTATTAAATAATTTCTTATATAAGAGTAAATTGAATACAAACTACATATACATATATAAAAAGAAAAACACTATATAAATCTGGAAGGAACAAAATAAAAAATAAAATAAAATCAAAACATAAAAATTCTACTATATTTAAAAAAAAAAAAACAAAAAATTTTTTTAAGGAATTCATTTTCCTTTTCTCTTAACATTTTACATTATTTAATTTTTAAATGAAAAAGGAAAACCAAAAATTTCAAAGAGAAATTCAAAAAAAAAAAAAAATAAAGAGAAAATTTAAGTATTTAATTAAGAGAATAAACTTAAAATAAAAGAGTTTTTTTTTTCCGTGTAAATTTAAGAGAAAAATAAATCTAATTTTTAAGTAAACTATTAGATTTTAAAAAATAAAAGTAAGACTTGAAAATTAAGTAGAAAAAAACAATATACATATATATATATATAAATTTATATAATTCTTCAAGTATTATTGTATTTTATAATACAAAATATATAATATATTTGTAATTGTATAAGAGACAAGAAATTGAACAAGATGGTTGAAAAAAATAAACATCATACTTATGTATTTTATATTTATAATAATATTTACATATAAATATATTTGTAATAATATATGAACAAACATATAATACATAATTATTAAAAATATTATGTCATTATATGCATTTGATTTATATCTATATTATATAATATTAAAAATATAAATTTAAAATTTAGAAATATAGAAATATGAAAAAAAAAATATGATGAAGGAAAAAAAAAAAATGAAGTAGAAATAAAATTTAATAAGTAGACTCCAAAGAAAAATGAAAACAAAAAAAAATTTTTACTCTAGATTGTAGTTTTGTAGGATTTATTATTCAATAAGTTCAGAGTATTATAAAAACAAAAAAAAAAAATGAAAAATTCCAAAAAAAAAAAGTAATGACTTTGTAGACTCTAAAAAAAAAAAAAAATAAAGAAAAGAAAAAAAATTAGTTTTATAGATTTAACACTGTTTCTAGAACGTAATTGAAAAAAAAAAAAAATAATAATAATAAAAAAGAAAAACTTTAAAGAAGTAGAAAAAATTACAAAAAAAAAACACGGCAAAAAAAAATAAAAAAAAAATTCATAAAAAGTTAAAAATTTTTAATATAATATATTTTTTTAAAAATAAATATTTAAATATCGTTTAAAATAATTCGTTTTAAATTTAATTTTCTATCAAAGAGAAAAATAAAAACACAACAAAATTATTAAAATATTTAATTGTAATGTTGACATTTTTACATACATAAATACAATATTATATAATTTAATTATATAATTAAGAGAAAACAAAAAAAAAAAAAATTTTTTTTTTTTTGACATTGACATGATAAAAATATCTTCATTACAAAATAAAATTTTTATATTTTTTAATTATTTTTAATTAAAATGCAAAAAAAAATTCATAATTCCTCTGCACTTTAATAATCATAATTTTTACAAGGAAATAAATACAATGTTAATTATAAAAATACATTTATGCAAGTATAATCGATACAGACAACAGTTCAAAAATATACAGTACAGAAGGTAAAATATAATTTATATAAAGCATAAAAGAGTAAAATTTACTGAAAATATATATATATAACAACAATATTATTGCTTTACAATAAAATACTTTCCATTTCAAATTCTCTTTTTATCATAATACTTATATGAACACTGTTTGATTCTCTCTTAGAATTTGTATAGAAATGAGAATTTTAAATTATGATAATAATTGTCATGCAGTAACAGTTTACATATTCTGAGCTTATGTTATAATTAAATTGTAAGTTATAATTATGTTATATAAAGAGTGTTAAATGTAAAAATAAAACAGATGTTCTCTTTTTAGAACTCTATCTTTATTTATGCTTATTTGGTCCAATTTGCTAATTTACTTTACAGCTTATTATGTAATTGATAAATAAAACAATTGAATAACTTTAAATTTTATAATTTTTCATATAAAACACTGAATATGTTTTTTAATTTTTGTTTTTGAAATTTCATCTTTAATTTTTTTCTCTTTACAAATTTCCAAAATTATATTGTTCGATTGTACTATCTTCTATTTCTATTTAATAAAATATTAATTAACAATGTTATTGCATAATAACAAAATAATAATAATTATTGTCATTTAAAAAATGTCTTTTCATTTTGTTTTGAATATAAACTAAAAGAAGAGGAATATGCTTACCACACCACAATAAAAATATAATATGAAATAAAGAGTATATTGATTTAAAGAGAATATTGATTTAAAGAGAATATAGTAAAGAGAATATTGATTTGTAATAAATCGTCTAAAACCATAATAATTGTCTGTATATTTTTTTTCTGCAGTATTGAAGCTATATACGTTACGGCTCAGAACAAAGTTTTAATATATTTGAACATTATCATTGATATTTATAAATTACACCGTGGATCACATTATTACAATTGATAATAAATTGTATTGTAATAAAATAAAATGATCTACATGAATTTTGTGCTCGTCAGCATATTGCAAAATAAATTGTAATGTAAAAACTTGTTAAGCTATGGGCTTAATTGAGTAAATTAAAATTTTTTGTCATCCATTTCTTAAAAGAAATATTCCTTATACGAATTCTACGATTTCAAATATTTCCTGTTTAAAATTTTTTTTTATTTTTTCCTGTTTTAAATTTTTTTTTTTTAGTAAATCTCAATATTTTTTTTTATTTCTAATAAAACACACACCAGTAAATCTTAATTAAAACTTAGAAAATCATATAATTTAGTAGAGAAAAAAAAGTGAAAATCAAAAAAAAAAATTAAAAAAAAAAAAACAAAACTTAGATCACTAGTTAGAACACAAAAACACTAGAAAATAAGTAGTTAGGTTTAAAAATTTAAGGTGAAGAAAAATGAAAAACAGAAAAAAAACCAAAAGAAAAAATTCAATAAAAAAAATTTAAAAAATTTCAAAAAATAAACCAAAAAAAAAATACGTAGATTTAAGTAACAAGTAGAAAACCAATGCATTCAAAAAAAAAAAAACAAAAACAAAAAAAAAGTTATGAAAGGATTCAAGTTGAAAAACAAAAAGTAAACTGAAAAAAAAAAAAAATAAAAAAAAAATGTTCATTGTGCTTTCCTTCAAAAAAAAAAAAAAAATAACGCTAAAAAATATTGCTGTTTTGTGTTTTATTTTATTATGAAAAAAAAAAATGAAAAAATGATCAAATATTATTGAAAAAAAAATAAAAAAAAAAAAATTAAATATTTTATATATTTTGCTTCTCTTTTGTCGCTATCAAATTTTTTGATTTTTCATGTGAAATGAAAAACGAAAGTAAAAAAAAAAAAAATTTAATAAAAATTTTACATGTAAATTATATCCGGGATATGTATATATATATGCAGCCATATACATATATATATATATATATATGTATGCATAAACACGATATATATATATATATATATGTATGCATAGCAAGCGTATACACGTATACATTATATACCATATATATACCATATATATCACGTATGTTTATATATACAAAATTGTATATATAGACACACATATATATACGTAAGTTCATACAATACGCATATATATACATACATATATATATATATATATATATATATATATAGATTTATATACATAAATATGTATATTGTATGCATATATTCTATATAGTATACGTACGTATCTCAAATATATAAATATTGATAAAAAAAAAATGGAAAAAAAATAAAAAAAAAAATCAAGTGAAAATTAAAAAATGAAAAACCCAGAGAGAAAATAAATGTTAATTTTTTAAAATTAATTTATTTAAATGTGTTTTATTTTTTACAGTTAAAAGTTTCATGATCAGAAACAATCTGCAACCGAAGTTCTGCAAAATTAGAGATTGATATTCTTCTATATACTATGAAACAGCATAAGGAAACATTATAACATAATTACAAATATCCCAACACACACATATTTTACAAACATCACAATCAACCTTAATTTTCTATAAGTTCAACGAATTCTTGTAGTTAATTTTATAATACTCGTAGCATATTGAATTTCTCATATTTAATTTTATGCCACTTCAAAAATGTTATATTAGTTTTATATTAGTTAATTCAGATTCTTTTATATTAATTTTCAAAATATAGAAGAACAAAGAATAGCCTCAAATGTTGATTAATATATTATGCGTATAATTAGGCCAGGTTCTGACATGTTCGGCGCCCTACGCGGTGTTCACGCAGCGAGCAATATACGCAATAAAAATTGTACAAGTATAACTTTCTTGTATTTTTATTATACTGAATGCAAGATTAGTTGTAAAATTGAAGCTTAATATTGAACTTTCGACTTCTTGTTTTGCAATATTTGGAAATAGGCACACATTATCCAGTTAATTTTGCTGTAAATGGAAAGGAAAACATGTAATGGTAAAAATCGGAATAAAAATTTTTATTTTTTAAAATTTATTCTTTTTTTTTAAGTTTCAATAGCGCTCCTTAAAAATACTTACTTTACAATTTTAATTGAGAATATTTTAAATAGAAAATTTACTTTGTTTAATTCGGGTCCGCAAAATTTCTTGTTAATTTTTAATTAAAGACGCTATTATTTTAATTATTACATTTATTTTTATTTTATACTTTATTTAATATTATTTTAATTAAATTACATAAAACGAACACGTATTTTATATTCTAAATTTTTCTTTTTTCTACATTTATTCTTATATAATATAGTACATAATGTAAACTTTAAAATACAAATTATACTTAAATTATATTATTGGATATCAGTTAGAAAGGTTTGTTTTTTTTTTTTGTTTTGATAATCTTTGGTAAAATCAATAATTTAAAAAAAAAAATTTAATATGTAAGGGAAAGCATATACAGTTTATGTGATCATATAGTAAATTATTACATATTATATAACTTGTCTAAATTAGAATTGGTAAGATTTTACTCCTTTAATGATTTTGGATCCATTAATGGTTTTTCTGTTGTTGCATGACTTAATGTCGTCAGTGTTATATTACTTGATGAAGTTTTAGTTGAGTATTGACTTGATCTGTTGATACTACGGCTTTGCTTATATCTATATTATATTGAAATAAAAGAAAAAATTAAAAATGTTCATTAATTAAAAAAAATTTAAAATTTATATTTACATTTTTCATTTTTTTTTTTTTCGATATGTTGCGTACAATATTTTCGATTACAGTTAATATTTTATTTATATTAAATGTGTTTTATTTTTTTGTTATTTTATTGTTTTTTTTTTTGTAATAAATACATAAATTAAATAAGAGCCACCAAAATTGAGTAAATATTTGTTTATTTTTTAATGTATAAGAATTTTTTTTTTTGTTTAAATTGAGTGTGTTATCGTTGTGAAAAATGTCTTAATAACAATGATTCGTCTTGCCTTAAAAAATATATATATAGGTAATGTTATAATAATTATGAAAATGAGTTTTTTTTGTATTTGTTTAGTTGATAAAATTTAATAATTATTATAAAAGAAGAAAATCTATATTCTAGAAAAGGAGAGTGTATTAGAAATAGAAAACAATAGAAAATTAAACTTAAAAACCAACGACTAGAATTAAAATAGCATGGTGTTTGAAAAACAATTATACTTAAAAATATATAGAGAGAGAGAGAGAGAGAGAGACAGAGTGGAAGAAAATAATTGAGAAAAAAATTGTTAGTATTCTAAAAAATTAAAACAAAATTTTAGTGAGCACACTATATATATTTCTAGACAAAATAAAATGGTAATTATGTAAGTGCTTAAAAAAGATGCTACTATCTTAACCAATATTAATTTAAAATTAGTTGTAATTCTATAAACCATAAATATATTAATAAAATTTAAACAAAATCAAAATAAAAAATTAAAAACAGTAAGTCGAAATTTTATTTTTAAAAATTCGAGAGAAAATATTTTTTTTTCAATAAGAATTCTTTAACAATAATAAAAACAATATAATTGAAATATTTAAAAATTTAGGAGAAAACTGAATTCAAATTTTCTCTTAAATTTTTTTTTTAACTGAATTAAAAAAATTTAAGAGAAAAATTCAATTTAATTTAATTTGATAACTTTAATATTGTTGTATTGCTTTTACTTTGAAATTAATATTTTTGATCTAATATATTCCAAATTATACGAGTATTAAGATAATTAAATAATAAATGCATATAAGTAAGTATATTAGTGAAAAATATAATTTAAATTCAATTGAAATATTACCCAAAACCTTAAAAAACAAGAATGAATTTTCATTAAAACTGTTTACCTCTATATCTAGATGGTCAGATTTCGACCTCTTCTATTACAGTATTTGAAGCTGACTTTAAACTTACAGAAATCAACCATGCTTTTAGGGGACAATCAAATGTACTGAATTAAATTATTTTTTTTTTTTTAGAAAAATTATATTATTAATTCTAAAATTATACTTAATTGTTACAAGAAAAAATATATTTTTTTTTTATGTGTAATTTTAATTCTAAATTTTATAAACGAAATAAGTACCTACCTATTACTTATTTAAAAATTAAAATTTCATTGCATATTTTTAGGGAAAAATTTTAGAGTATTTTAACCTTTATTAGAAAATAAAATTTCAATTAACTTTTAAAATTTGAAGAAGAGTTTAGAAATTTGCACCTATTATACTCAAAAAAAATTCATGTTTTCTAATATTTATTTTTATAGTAAATAACTATTAAACTAATTAAAATAATTTCTAAAATAGTTATTTTAAAAATATTTTGGTTAACATTTTACTTTACATTCTTTAATAAAACTATAAAAAGGAAATTTTACTACAATGTCATAAAGAGAAGTAATAGTAATATAAATTTTCTTCCCAGTCCAATTAAAAAAATTGTGAATTGAGATTATTAATATAACACAAGGAAAAATTTTAAATTTTCTCTTGAAAATTAATTTCAACAACAAAATCTCTTTTACATGCATAGCAATTCAAATTTAATCTGTTATTAATTATAAAATGTATTAAACTTAATCTCAACATTTAAATTCTTAATGAGAACGGTTCACGCTCTTTATTTTATTTCCTAACTAAGTATAACATTTAATACATTATCATTTGCTGTGAATTTAAAAGAGAGAATAAAAAATAGCAATTGAAAGGAGAAAATATATGGAGAGAAATTAAAGATAGCAAAATATTCTTTATGATGATTTATCACTGAGAAATTCATTCTTTCAAATAACACTGTCTAAAACTTTAAAATACTGTACAATATTAAATGCCTATCTGTTACACCTCTGCATGTTTTGTAAACGTACATATAGTCTTATTATTTTTTAAGCCTCATTATTTTATATTGAATAGAAAATAATTTCAATGGCACCGATTCTTAAAATACAAAATCATATTATTTAGTAGAGAAACTAAAAGGAAAAAAAACCACAAAAAATACTAATTTAATAAAAAATAATAATGAAAATTTTAAACCAAAAAAATAATAAATGATTTTTTTTTTTCAAAATTAAGGAATGCATGTACTACTTTTATTTTGCTAACACCTATATGAAATATTTAGTTTCTAATATTGCGATTAATTTATTAATTGTTACAACAAAAATATATTGAAACAAAAAAAAAAAATTATTAATTATTTTTCTATATCAAAAACGACAATTAAAGCGAATTTTTCTGTATATGAAGCCAATAAAATTTAAGCCTTTCCACAATAATATTAAAAAAATTTATTAATGAAAGCCAAAAAATTCTTTTTGGTTTTAATTGTAAAACAAAGAAAATAATTTGTATATATATATGTATTATTGTATCTATATAATAATTAGATGCATGTATATAAATTAATAAAAATTTTTTTTAATGAAACTTTACCAATTTTATTTTATTTTTGTTCTAGATCTCTGCAAAATTTTTCTTATAAATGAAAATTTTTTTTTTGTTTTGGTTTTTTTTTTTTGTTAATTATTTATGCTATAATATTCGAGTAGTATCCTAAAATTTTTTGTTTTATTCTAATGTTTTATCTGATTTTGATTTTATAAACTGGCTACTAAATCTTCTTGACATATTTCGGAATGATTCGAGAGCTGCATTTGAGTACACACTTTCTGAAAAATGACTTTAAAAAAGAAAAAGACATTTTTTGAAAATAATTTTTGTTTCTAGTTTTCTTTTTTTTTTGTTTTTATGTTAATATTATTTTATTTATAATAATATTAAAATAATATTTTTAAATTTAAATATAAATATAGAGTTGGTAAAATTATTAACATTTTCCTTTCGTTTAACAATCGCCTTCCGTTCAATTTTAGTTAGAAAAGATTTTTATCAATTAAAATACGATCAATAAGGGTTAAGCTATAATATATATAGAACAAACAATTATTATGAGGTTAAAATTGTGTTTTGAATAAAAATTAAATTATTTTTAACTCGATACCTAAACTACATTTGAAAAATGGAGAAGCGGTCTAGTTTTGAATTAAAGGGGTTTAATATAGGAAAAATTTTCGCGCTAAATGCAATTTAGTTAAATATATCCTAATTTCTTTAAAAATAATTTTATTTATTTAGAAATATTTTTTATTATGTAAAAAAAAATGCAGACGCTTACGTCTATACAAATGCGAATGACGTTTCGATGTTCGCATGCTCTTAGCATTTACAATTAATTCTTTTTTAACGCAATTCAAATTTTATTTTTTTGATCTCATTTTATATAATTATAACTTATTAATTATTAAAACAAAAATTATAAAACAACTATTAAAAATAATAAAATAATTAATAAATAATGACAAATCGAGTAATTGACACCGAAGCGCCACTCACCACCATATTGTACTTATTTATGTTACGTTTATGCATTGAGCGTGTATATGCACAATATTTATTTTATATTCTTCTCACATGTGGAAAAGGGAATGTGGGAAGCACACACGTGTAAACAGCCTACTTTCTAACATGTAACAATTAAATCAACATTATTATGTGCAACTTATACTTAGAATTTAACTTATATTAAAACTATTCTTCAGCAACTCAAGTTACACTAGATTGGATTCAAAAGCTGCATTCAATAAAATACAAAATTTAAATTTTCTACTTCTAATTTAATCTATAATTTTTTGCCCGCAATATAGCACAATATTTAAAATTATATTTTATAATTTCTTTTTAAGCATATATCGAAAATGTCAAAACAAATTTACCCTTTCAAAATATTAATATAATTTAATAGTTTTATGATGATTTTATACATTAAAACCATTCAGTTTCTTACAGGCACAATAATTGAAGCACTATGTAAAAGCCGCAACTAATTTTTTTTTTTTTTGAAATTTACACAAATTTACAATTTCTTGCAGTGAGCAAACTTAATTTGTGTGTGAATATTCTTAAGATTATATTTATTTGGAAAATAAATTTCGGAGCGCATGTATCCTGGAAATGTAATGACTAATGAACAATATACATGGCAGTGCGCTGTTACAAGCATATTAAAATTATTTATAATAATTATCAAAAGTCTAATTTTCTTGTTTTTTTTTAATTTGAAGCGACACTCTAATGTTATCTTTTTATATATACAATTTCTGTAATTATTTATTTATTTACATAATTAAGTAATTGTATTGTTGAATATTTCACACAATTATTTTGCTATTGAACAAAGCCAAAATTCTATTACAATTATTTAAAAGAATTTTTTAATTTAGAATTTTAATTTATGTACACTTTTTTATAAAAAAAAAATTTTAATTATTATAATTTATTAAGTATACATTAAAAAAATGAATATTTCTTATTTTTAAAATTAAAAACTGTTTTTACTTTTTAAAGAAGCTCTACTCACTCACTCTGTTAAAATTTTTTAATTTTAATTCATTGTGCCGCTTTATATATCAAAAATGTTACAATCAATTATGTAATGCCGAAAAAATACATTATGTATACATATGTATGTATTTTGTGTACATTTAAATTTCTTCATAATTATATTTATATAATGTACGTATATATAAATAATTATACAATACTTTTACAATTCTAACACTCCTCCCTAAAATTATAATATAATATTGCGTATATTATATATACTATTAATTTTCTTTAGCTAAATACAATTAAATGCAATATATATATACATACATATAAGTTCTAATTTTATTATATTTGTACACATAAATTTAATATACAGGGTGTTTCACATAAGGTGGCTAATAATTTCATTGATGATTCTTTAGTCAATTTCCAGTAAAATTTTGTGTGGGATAAGCATTTATTTATATGTAGAAGAAAACTGGTACTGTTTTTTCAACAGGCTGTAACTCGAAAACAAGTGTATTTGGGCACCTCTCCCCAAACAATTTCTTACTGGAAATTGATTAAAGAATCATACCTGAAATAATTTGCCGCCTTATACCAACCATCCTGTATAGTATTTTGCTAATAGTCTAACTAAGAATATGAAAATTTGATAAATAAAATATACTTCATTTTAGAACGAAAATACCAAATGATTTGAGTTTAAATAAGTTTGACAATATTAGCGTTATTTGATTTTTTCGAAACAAATAAATTAATTTATATTATATTAATAAATTAATAAAAATTTACTATTTCCTATTTACAATATTTTTCATTTGTTTCAAAAGAATTTTCCATTTAGACCAAAAGAGTTTCTTGCAATTCAAAAAGCCTAAATTTTGGTTTAAATTTTGTTTAGAATTTTTTCGATTCTTAAACAAGTTTTCAATGAAATCCATTATTTGTCATAGTAATTTTAATAAAACAAAATTATAAGTCACCAAGTTCAATTTATGCAATTTTTGCTCGAAATCGCAAAAAAATTATGACTACAAATTAATGGAGAATAATTTTACCGTAAATTCTTAAATGAAATAATTAATAAGGTTTTCAAATAAGAAAATAATTTGTTTTAGAAATCATTTCAACACAGCTATATTATTATTCCTAATTCTGCACCCTAAATAAGTTCAAATTTGAACAGAAAGAAATCTATATGAAAATACATAATTAAGGAAAATTATAATTTTTCTAAAATCCAATCATAATAAAGGAATTTCAATTAATCACCTATAGAATTCAAATAAATACTTTCCTATTCTACATCTTGAATGGATAAAAAATCAAAATTTCTAATTTTTCTAAATTTTCACAAATTTTGAAAAATACTTTTAAAAAATTAAGAAAAATTATTTTAAAACACTTACCTTTTTATTATTAAATGTTTAACTTTCTTCTTTAAAACAAATAATGCAAATATTAAGAAACCTTGTACAGCATTACAAACATCCATTACATAAAATATCCATGCAAATATATGCTTTTCTCCAACTAAATATGATATTATTTCCATGGACCATGTTGCACCCATTACAATAAATAATCGTAAAAATAGACCATATCTACAATAAGAAAGCAAAATAATTATAAAATTTTCAAGATTTCAACACATACTCGTTAATAAGGGAAATTTCTATTTACATGTAAACTCAAATCACTCTACATTATGTCACAAGAATTAATTCGAAATTGGAAAACTTTAATCAAATTATTGTTATTGAGTAAGAATAAAAGAGAAATTTAAGAGAGTATTAATGTTTCGAGTAAGAGAAACTTCATTACACTATTTTCTCTTAATATATACTTACTGATCTTTTTCAGTTCTTAAATTTTTTCGACTATCCTCACGTGCAATCATTCGTGCAACTTCTCTTTGTACATGATGTATTTTCGTTGATGTTATAATAAACATTATAATATTAAATGTTATAATTGCTAATATTGGCCCATAAAAATATGCAAATGCTGAATAATTTCTTAAGACTAAAAAATACCAAATTAATTTTAAATTAATTTAAATAATTAAAATTTATTTTGAAAAATATAAAATAATATTAATAATATACCATCCAACCAGCAATAATCTTCATCTCCAATACCAGGTTTAAAATTTTGTGGAAGATAATCAGTTAATTGTGCTATAATTGTTATACCAGTACATGTTGCTGCTAAACCCCATGCATAAAGTGCAAATATATAAAATTTTTTTGAATCTCTTAAATTTCGACCATGTGTACCACGAAAATTCCACCATAAATCAAAACTAATAACACTTAACCAGAAAAATGCTGACATAAATGAAAAATAAGCTACAAATCCTTTAGAAATAAATACAAATAAGAAAGGTTTATTATTTATGCTATATAACATTTTCTATTAAAAATTTTCTCTATGTAATTACCAATTATATAACATGATAATGTATTAAGTTCCTTAAAAAATATTTGACAACATAGTAATGAATAACCAAATATCAATCCTAATAAATAACAGGCCAAAGATTTCCCATGTAAATTTCTTAATTCAGGAATTAATGTATATACCAAAACTGTTATTATCATAAATGGTATAGAAAATAACATCGCTGAAAATAAATAAAAATGTTACAATTAATATTTATTTTTTTTATTTTTATTAAAATTTTATATAAATATTTAAATTGTTTGATAAAGTAATTAAATATTATTTAATATAATATAGACAAATTATCGTCTATGTGTATAGATGAATGATAAATAGATAAGATATTTTTATGGCTAACTTCCAATCTATAAATATTTGAGTTTTCTGTTAAGATAACAGAGATTTTCATTATATGAGTGTGTATGCGCAAAAATAAATCATAACTAAAATTTATTATACAATATCTACATAAATTAACAGTTGTATGAATAATTAGATCATAAATTTTGGCCTCACAACAATAATAATTTTATAAAATTTTTTGGCATTTTTGAAATTCAACTTAAAATAGATTCGAAAGCCAGCAACAATTTTAAAAAATGAATTTGTGTCTCTAATTAATTTCGAATTTTCTATATGGTTTTTCCATTTCAGTTTAGAAAATATTTAATTATTACTATGTAGATTTTACATATTAATTAAAAATTTAATTAGATTCACAGATTCTAATCAAAATTCATAAATTATAAAAATTGTTGAGGTTGTTCGTATTATATTTGATTTTGTTATTATATCCATTTACAATATAGAATTATTGAATTAATAAAATTCTTAAAGATCATTGAACTGTTTGTTGCCATATCAAATTTTTTCAAGAGATGCTATTGAAAATTTATACATTATTTTGGTGAATAAAACATGTTAACTTTTTATGAATTGCATAAAATAGTGTGGAGCTTCAAAAAAACTAATAAACAAATTTTAAAAGAGGCAAACAGAGAGAGCCCTAATATTCTAAACTAATTTAACATTAGTTAGAGTGGTGTTTAGAATAAAATATAGCTACTGATTGAGGAAAATACAATGAGTTTTTGAAATTTAAGGAGAGATGAAGACGAAAACGCTATTCAGGTGGTCCGTACAGTTTCAGTATAGGTAAGTTTTAAGGACATGTGAAAAATATATACATGGTGATCTCTCAAGCTTTAATTTAAGTCACTAAGTGTCGAAAAATCTTTTATGATACAGATGATAGAAATTATCATTAAAATTAACTTTTAAAATCAATAAAAATCAAAAATAGTGATTTTTTTTTTGATTTTTCACATTTCATTAAGGCCTTTTAAATTCTTGACATAGAAATGGTTTTTGTGCTATATCTTCTGTACCGTAAAAATAATTTAAATTAAAGCTTGAGAAAGTTGCCAAAATTATGTAAAAAAAAAATCAATGTTTCAAAAAATTTCGTATTAAATTTATCTGGTTAGAAAAACTGAAAAAATAAAAAAGAGAAAAATTTTTTTTTTCTAAAGTTTGAATGCTTAGTCAAGCCGAGTGTTCATTTTAAGCCCTTTACTAGACCTTTCAGAAATGGTTTATCTAAAGCCCCTATCTTTTTCGGAACGAAAGTTATAATCAAAAAAATATGCACAAGTATAAATTTCGTGAAAATTAAATGTAACTCAGAAACCCTTGAGTTTTCACCCAAATCCTTAACAGAAGTTTTACCCATTTTCCACCCTCTAACCAAATATTTTTGAATATAAATAAATTTCGAATAAATTTTCAATTTTCATGTCCATGAAATTAAATATTATATTAAAATTAAAAAAAATATATACAGATTAATGTGGAAGACACGTGAAAAATAGGAAGTTTTATTTCAGTTCTTAAACATAAAAATGCAAAATCTTCTCTTTGGTCTTTAAGCCATTATAATCGTTTAAAGGAAAGCTTCTACTTTACATAGCACAAATATTATTATACACATATAATATTATCCATATATTATATAATACATAATTATTACATAATATATGTACGTAATATGTGCTATGCATTTAACATAATTAATTAAATTATTAAAATTAGAATTTAAAATTGTGTTATAAACTTCATGAATATTAATTATTATAGTAAATTACAAGGTTTTTAACAATGCAATAAAATTATTTTTAATATACTCGTAATTTTAACAACGTTATAATCCTATTCAACTTGTTATAAAAATATGATGCATTATAATGTGTGTATATTAATTCTCAATTATAACTTTTACGTAATTGGGTTTTTTGACAAATATTCAAAAAAAAATCTTAAATTTTATCTAAATCTTATATGTGTAGTAGCACCATTTATTAAATAAAAATTTGCAATTCTAATAATTTTAATTATATACTCATGTTTTCAATATATAAACCATATTCATACAACATAATATTAATATATTTTATATATATGTATATATTTATATTAAATAATTTAAAATGCATTATATATGCAAATACATGCACATTATAGCCCCAATATTGAAAACGTTGTAAATATCAAACATTTGTATAATATTGAGTAATTAATATTTAAGAAATCTAGACGTAAACGATAAACTTACTTATTTATAAAGACTATTTTAAAAATCTTTATTGAATTTCAATGATCCAATCAACAAGTAAATAAATTGAAAATCATTTTAATGGTATAAATATAAAAAAGGGGTGGCCAAAATGCGGCTGGCGAGTCATATGCAGCTCTTTAAAAAAATTTTTGTGGCTCTAGGTAAATAGTAAATATACCCAAGTTTGCCTTTCATTTTTGTATTGTTATATTTATAAAAATTATTACCATATGTGTGGCAAAATTTTCTTTAAAAAACCACTAAAAACCGGGGAAAAGAAACGTAAGAGTGTAAGTTCATCGCATATAACAAATATTAAATGACCTAGCAAAAAACGGCTCCAATAACAAAAAAAATAGTGGCGCAATCATCCGTAATCGATCAACTCCAGACTAATTTTGAACTTCTTAACTTTTAAACTGCAATAAATGCATTGAGCTACGGATATATGCATAATTTTTAATCTGGTATTGTGGATTATGTTAACTTTTTAATACAGTTTAATTTTTCGCTCTCGAAAAATTTCAAATTTTGAAATATTGTTCGGATTATCAAGAAACTTTGCCACCCCTGACATAGAGAAATTTAACTTAATAATATTATGTATATTTAGGTATATATGTATATTTATCTAATACCGTCACAATTTTTAAACTTACATGAAAATTTTCATATTAAATAATTTAAATAAAGATTAAATTACATACGGTTGGTTTTTTTTCAAACTTGTTTTAAAAATTTTTTTTTAGAATTCATTTTAATACAAATAATTATTTGTACTTAGAAAACAATTACCCGACTTAACTGTAAATACTTTGTTTAAATTGAAAAAAAAATTTTTTTCGGGTTAACACCCCCCCCCCCCCCCTAAGTTATCTAATAACATGTTATCTTTCAACAGGCTCATAAAATTTGAATTTTCAACGATTTTGATTTCCGAAATTCCATTATACCCGAATTCAACTATTGTGTTAACGCTTCATTCAATATGTTCATCCTAAATGTATGCAATAATTTGATAGACAAATTTAGGTATCTACATACATTAAATGAAAGTAATTTTATTAAATGTAGTAGAATAGTAGATTGTTTTCAAAAGCAGAATTTTTCACTTCACAGAAATAAAAGAAGGAAATGTGCTACTTTACAAACCATTTGTTTGATTCATGTTTATTGTATATTTATACCAATAATTCAGATTGTGAACCATAACGAATAAATAAATCATATCTAGAAATTGATATGTTTTTTTTTTATTTTCCTATATAACAAATAAATTAATTAAACGCGACGTTATCTCACTTTTATCAAACATTTACATACATAGACAAAATGAAATTAATTTCAATTTATTTTATAAAATTTTCTTAGTACTTTACTTTAAAAGTACAATTGTCTAGAATTTATGTATTTCTATTTATTTTTCAATTAAAAAAAAAAAAAAAACAACATTATAAAATTCAATTTTAATCTTACCAAAAGCATTTAAAACCATTCGTAAACTATTCTCTTGTGGAGTTCGGCATAAATAAGCAGTCGGATAAAATGAAACACTTTCATTCTCCCACATAGCATAACCGAAACACATACTACTTTTATCTACAATCCGTTCGTCATATAATAATTTTAGGCTACCATCCTGAAAAATTTTTGGGAAAAAAAAATTTAGTTTTCAATTTTTAATAAAATAATTTCAAAAATAATAATTATGGGATGCGAATAAATTTATGTTATATATAGGTATATAACATAAATATTTAGAAACTATAAAAAAGTACTAATAAATAATAATATTTGAAGGTGTAATAATTACCTCATATAATATATATTCATCACCTGGATAATCTCTTTCCAAAAAATACATATCATCACATGGTCGATAATTCATTTGTGGTATAAAATAATTATAAATATCTGTTGTTATATTATTACCATTATAATCGACAATTGTTAATTCATTTGTATATGTTTCATTAATTTTAACACATCCCCTTTCTGAAAACATTTGACCATTATCACAACACCATCTTAAACATTTTTTTGATGTTAAACTACATGCACATCCTCTTGGATGTAATGGCACCGATATTCTATATGTATTATTTAATAATTCATAATCATATAAACCAATATATTGATTTGGTATCACAATATCACCATATATATATGAACCATTTGATAATTTTGTTGAATTTCTTAAATCTACTGTATCAGAATACCTACATGGTACATTATAATTATCTAATGATAATTTTACTCCATTACATAAATTAATTATAACTAAAATATTAAATATTAATAAAAACCAACTAATTTTAATATTATAATTATTATTATTCTTAAATAATAATGAGATCAGTCTTTTATTAATCATTTTTATTATTTTATTTTAGATTTTTATTTGAAAAAATAAAAATTTATCGCTTATTTAAATTTTGTATATTTTGTTATGGCTTTGATTTTTTTTATTAATTTTAAATTGTAGGGAAATTTTATTTTTAATGCAATTTTTCTCTCTATTTAATAATTATATAGAACAATTATTTTGCACTCTCTATCGTATATTTGTAATAAATAATTAATGATTATTAAATTGAAGTCCTTCATAATTTAAGATCTGAAATTGAAAAAGAAATAATAATAAAAATTAAATAAATATTAAAAATTTTTTTTATATAAAAGATAATTAAATATAGCTATAGTTATTAAGTGATAAATTATCAGTAGCAAACATATACACAAAATATACTTATATAAAATAACATGAACTGTATAATTACGGTTTGATAACAGAAAAAACTGTTCATATTTCTGTATTTACAGATATATTGTGAATAATGTGCTTTCATATACTTCAAAATGCTATTTTTATTATTATTATTAATAAATTTATCTATATTAATATTAATATTATTATTATATTAAATAATTATTCACAATATTTTAATTTTAAGTACAAAATGAGTCTATATATACAATTTATTTGTTATCGTAGAACTCAGTTCATTTTATATTGTTAATTTCTTTGTTTATAATTGCTTTAAAAAGTCCTTTAAATTTTTTTTTTAAATACAATGGTAGATTACATAAAAATTTATACTTTGTGATTAAAATAAAGAAATGATTATATAAAAGAAAAAAAAAATTAATTATAACATAAAAATTTTATTCTTTGTTCTTGTATACATACTAACTGGCTTACTTAAATATTTAAGAATATTGTATGTGATAAAATGCGTGCATGACTAAGAAAGTATGTATTATGCATCAAATATTATGTTTTTCCGGATTTCATTCCTGATTATCAATCGAAAATGTTGGCTGTTTAATATCACATTTATTTATAATAACGCGTTCAAGGAATATGCAAAATAATTGATTTTATCTCAATTCTTTTTATACTTATATTTAAATTAAATAATGTAATTAATACAAAATTTCTTGTGCTCATTACTGTATTTGAATATATTATAATTGTTTTAATTACATTTAGTGTCAAACTTATCTGGGTGCCAGAATACCAATGTACAGTGCGAAATTAATTCGCTCTGATGAAATGGTCTTAAGTAGCATTTTCTGGTTTTCTTTCCCATTATTATTGTTAAGCAGAATATATATATATATACATTATCTATCGTGAGCTGACTACAGGTGAAAGAACCTGTTTACGTACAGAATAGCAAGAAAATTGTGGCCAAAGTACGAAGTTAGTAAAGGAAATGTCTCGATGGAGCACTAGTGCACAGAAAATTGGACATAGATATGCGGCTACACTAGGATTTCTCCTTAGTCCGATGTGTCGAAGTAAATTGGCGACGAACAAAAAAAATATTTTCTTTATACTTTCTGTGCTGATGCTCTGTTATAAGACAGACTACTTTCGTTGGGTACGACAATAATCAGTAATTTGGCGATTACCTGGTCTAGTGGTATCAGATTGTTGGTAACAAATCTGTAGTTTGAAAATTGTGCCAACCAATTATATTTCTAAATGAATTTCATCAAAAAATTCCCAGAAATCTATTCTGTATATACAAATTTTAATTTATGATCCGGTTAAGATTTGAAATTAAAACTTCTTTTCTTCCGGCATGAAAATTATTTTTACTACAAAATATATTACTAATATTCATATTGTAACATATGTACACGTGTGATATTTGCTTTATATTAATAATAGTTTTTGTTAAAATGAAAACTACCAAAATACAAAATTACTATTAATCCTTTCAATTACGTGTACGTGTACCAAAAGGATTATTTAGAAAAATTAATATTTAAGCATCATAACAAAGAAAAGAGTTCTAATATAATCGCACACCCATAAAAATTATTATGCATGAATGTTTACATAGTAAAAATGAATTTACTTAAATTCCATATAATATTTCATAATTACCCAATTACATTGTTATATAATTACTTTATGTATGTACATATGTGTATAAGTAGTTAATAATCTCGTTAAATACTTATATTTAAATGATCAACATTTTGATTAGGTTTTTTTGTTTAAGTTCTCGTTAGATAGTTTTTGTTTTTCCTGTTAATATTTACATTAATCATAACGGTAAAAGATATTCCCTAATTACTTTCATTTTAATTTTTTTTTTGTCCTTTTTTTTTTTTAAAGAACAGGTGCAGTATCTATACTTGTCTTGTCATTTTTTTCTGCTTTTAAATATACATACATGCATATGTATGAATGAGTAAATATTTACTTAAAATACACATATTATATGAATGCTTATAAGGCACAAAAAAATTAAATAAATTTAGTGGACTTTATAAATTATCTACTTAGTTTCAATTGTATGTAATAACGAAATTGTGGGGAAATGAACGCGTGTGTTCATATTTGTCCACATATTATTTATGTCAATTATTTTACGTATAATTATTATCCCTTTAAAAAAAACTTTAAAGGAAAACAAAAGCTATATATAAAATAAAGGGAGTGTGCATGGTCAGAAACCAGACATTTTTATTAGAATAACAATATTTATATTATAATATGTGTGAACTTTTTTTTTTTTTTTCAACTAAAAACTCTTCTATATGTTTTCTAAGAAACTGTAATAATATAAAGTATAAGAGTATAATAGTTATTCATTAAGAACTAGTTAAACTTTGTTTGTTAATGTTCAATAAAAAAAAAATTAATTTCATTTTATATTTGACACTAACATACTCATGCAACTATTAATTTCTTTCAACTTTTATGTATGGTAGTATGTACACGAGTAATCGTGAGGAGACAACGTAAATAATATCTTTCATATTCAAGTAATTATTAATTTTAGATACATATAACAAAAAAATTGTTATACAGGGACATAATTTCTGTTATACATAATTATATATCGTACTTACAAGAGAGAAACCAAAATTTTATGTAGAAAATTTTCAAAAATTATTTAATTGAAACTATTATTGGTACATTTGTTTGTAATAGTTTCCGTTTAAAGCTGCAATTTTATACACAAATTGATCTATAAATATTTTTATTTTTTATGAATTTCGAAAATGCCAATTATCACTTTTAATTGTGTTGAAAACAGAAGCATTTTTTTATTTTCGGAAAAGATATCGTAAATATACCATAAACAAACCCTATTTATAAATAAATGGTTGTCATTATTAGTATAACACTTCAATAGTACTTTTTCTTAGACGGTAAATTCAAGAAGTACAAAATTTTTTCAATACTTAATTCCTTTTTCTAAGATAACGTTTCTAAAAATTCGAAATATTTAAATTTTCCACACCTTTGTTTTCCAAAACTCTAAATTAATTTGAAATTATCATGGAAAATACTTTCTCATCAAAAATATGATCATTAACTCATCTCTTAACTCATTTAATTAGATGTCAAACTCAATATGATTCTATTGAATTTTGTTCTCATCCTACGGATATGCAATGATAAAAATAATTTTAAATAGAAGATTATTATACCCTGCACTTCGTGAAGGGTATATTAACTTTGGTATGGAGTTTGTAACTACTTGAAGGGGTCATCTGTGGTATGGACATATATATATATTCTTGCTCAGCGTAAAATTCTGCGTTGATTTAGACATGTCCGTCCATCCGTCCGTCCGATCGCACGATAACTCAAAAACGAATAATGCAATCGACACCAAACTTTCACAAGTTGTTTCTTTTGTGCCAAGGACGAACCCTATTATTATTGGACCAATTCGGACAACGGGTTCGGGTAGCTGCCATACAACTCATAGAGTTTATTTTAAATTTTTCCAAAACTAATAAAGGTACAAATATAAAATTTTGTATACATGTGTCAAATTATATTCTACATATGTTCTAAAAATTTTAATGGGATAGCTGCACCGGTTCGAGTGGCTGCCATACAACTCCAAAAGCACATTTTTTATATTCGGCAAAATAATAAAGTCAGATTCATGAAACTTGGCAGTCATGTGTCCAATTATAGGTCAGATATATTTCTGAAGTTTTAGTGGAATTGCTTGACAGGTTCGGGTACCTGCCATACAACTCTAAAAGCTAATTTAAAATATTTGGAAAAATAATAAAATCAGATTCATGAAACTTGGCAGATGTGTGTCCAGTTATATGTCAGACATATCCGTGAAGTTTCTATAGAATGGTTTCAAAGGTTATAGAATGGTTCCACAGGTTTGAGTAATTGCTATACAACAACGAAAGGTGCAGGGTATAATTCAATCGGTTTATACCGACTGAAACGTTTTTGCTTGTTTTTTTTTTCACTTTAAATATTTTATAGAAGTGCGTGTGCACTATAAGCAAAATTATTTGAAGAGTATACCTATTTCATGAATTATTTATTAAATGAAACCTAAGAATATTTACAAATTTCTAAAATTTGAAATTATTATATAATATTCATGACAGCTCAATTGTTTAAGTTTACATTAGTATAAATGAAATTTTATATAACCATAGCACATGTAATTACAATAAAACAATAAAACGATAATTTAATATAATTGACGTTTTCGCGATTTTACCAAATTACAGATCTATACACGTCAGTAAATGCTCACCAAATAACATACTATCATATATACGTAAACTTAGTTTTACAATTTGTCTAACAAATTGCATTGAATTATGAAAATTTTCTAAACAGAATTTCACCTTAAAATTATTATAAATATACCCACATCCATACATAAGTATATTATACGATATAATTATAATTATTGAATTAATAATTGTATATATCAAACATTTACAATAAAATCATATATTTGGTTTTGTTTTTGTGATCATTTAAATATCGATAATTAATTAAAAATTCTAAATACAAGTTCAATTTAATATTAAATAAATATTACGTAAGCAGGCAATACTATATACTTTTATGTACGTATATATAACTAT